TTAGACCCCATTTTCTATGGGCGCTTTAAAAAAAAAATTAAAAAAATTTTTTTAAAAAAATAAATTTTAAAATTTTATTTAACAAAAAAAAAAATAATAAAACCTTATAAGTTTATTTATAAATATTTTTAAAATGGATTTATAGTCAAAAACTTAAGATATGATTAAAATTAAATTTTTTTCATATATTTTTTATATGGGGGTCAAAACTTTTGCGAAATACTGTATCAATCAATTAAAAAAAAAAAATATTAATTAAAATTAAATTTTTTTAACACAACTTTTATTTAAATTTTGTTATTTAATTTTTATTTGTAATTCATTGATAAGGTTCTGTACAGAAATGTAGCTTTCCAGATGTGTGGTATTTTCATCCCAAAAATTCTTTTGGCCCACAAATAAGCAATATATTTAAATATCTGTGATATAACAACAATTCTAAAATCAATTCAAATTTATTATAATAATCATAAACATATATCACATTTATTAGAAAAAGACAAACATATATTATTTTATAATTATCAACAAATTTAGACACATTTTTAATTTAAATAGTCACACATCTATTATTTTATAATAATCAAATGTAAACACATTTTTAAAATTAAATATTTTTTTTAAATTAATTTTATTTTTTTAAAAATAATATTTTTCAGTATAAATTAAAATTCAAAAATAATTTTTAGTCAGAGAAAATAATATAGAGAAAGTAATAAGTACAGTTGTTCGCAAAAGTTTTGACCCCCTAATAAAAAACATTAGAAAAAAATTTTAATTTTAATCTTATCTTAGGTTTTTGACTATAAATCCATTTTAAAAATATTTATAAATAAACTTATATGGTTTTTTTATATTTTTTTTGTTAAATAAAAATTTAAAATTTATTTTTTTAAAAAAATTTTTTTAATTTTTTTTTTAAAGCGCCCATATAAAATGGGGTCTAAATTTTTGAGAAGATATTTCAATTTTATTATAATTTTTTATTTTTATTTTAATTTTTTTTTAAAAACAAATAGGACAGTATATTCATAAAAAATAGAAAAAAAAAACAATAATGACCCTTTTTTTAGATTTAATAAATATGATTTTAAAAATTTACAAAAAAGCAAAAAATCATCAAAAAGTTAAAGATATATTGAGTGAAGTAGGTCCACAGTTAAGAGAATTTTTTAAAAAAAAATCTAGAAAAAGGTACAATTGAAGAAAATACAATACCTGGCATAATAAGAAAGATGGACGACAGAATTGAAAGACATTGTAGAAAATAAATTTGAAATGGGAAATGTCATAATTTAAGTAATATAAAAAGATATCTTAGAAAAAACTTTCAAAAAAATGTTTCAATAAGTACAAATAGTAGGTCTCTACAACATAATAATGTTTTTTTTAAAAGTTTAAAATGTAAACACTTTCCAACCGAAAAATATATGTCTCAAAGCTAAGGTGGGTAAAAAAGTGCCAAAATTGGGCAGCTGAAAATTGGGAAAAGGGTAATATTTGTTGATGAAACCAGAATTGAAGCATTTTCTTAATAATTGAAAACTAAAAAATGGATTCATGATACAAGAAACCTTAAACAAAGCATATTGGCCAAACGAAGATGAGGTGGCAGCTCAATATATACATGATGTTGTTGCACAGCTCATAGTGCAGGTCGTATATGTATTACCAGGTTTAACACAAATGCTGCATAATATTTAAAAATATTAATACAGGGTTATAGAAGAACTTTACGAGAGAAATGAATTTTATCTGGTCATATGTTTCTTTTACAAGACAATTGCTCTATTCATATGACCTATTTATTGGCCGATTTTTAAGAAAAAAAGCACATTAGGGTGATATTTATTCTACCCTGTTCACCAGATCTTAATATTATTGAGAATATATGGTCAATAGTAAAACGACATATAAAATTGATTTCTATCGGGTACCCACGTCATAATTTCAATCTTTTAATTTGTTGAATTTTAAAAAATATTCATCAGGATATATTTGATAATCTTTATGAATCAACCTCAATAAAAATACAACAAATAAATAAGAACTAAGGTGA